ACAAAGGCATCTGAGGATTCAGCTCCACAGACCTCTGACTTCAATAATTAGCTTTAATTTTTCTCCTGGTGGGGGAAGGGCAGACATGAAAAGGCCAACTAGGAGAGTCAAGAGTAAGGGACAAAGGGCCCAAGGTCCACTAGGAAATGAAATCTAGTCACAGAAGAGAAACCACCCCACTACGATGAAGAGCAAGATACACCTTGAGCAGAGGTCTGTTTCCCTGGGGTGCCCAAGATCTTCATTTCCCAATAAACAGGCATTTTTCAAAGTACCACTCATGTTATTTTCAAAGCCTTCTAGAATGCTTTCACTGAAGACAAAGTGTGCAATCCAGTGTAATCAATACATATAAGACTTTGAGAAAAAACGGTATCTTGAATCCCTTACCCAAAAGTTAAAGGCAGAGGTGATGTCTCCATTCACCAGGCCTTGGAAACAGAAGGCCAAAACCACTGCCCAAGTCATTCTCAAACCTTACCTTATAGCAATCTATGATCACACCCTCTACAACTGCAATGGATCATTCTAGAAAAGTCTGACTACTTGAGGGGTCTCTAAAACTACACTGGCTACATTTGCAGGGCTTTCTTCCTGTCTGCCACTAATTGAGATGGTAAGGAAGAATTCCTAATTAAAGTTTCCCTGGAGATTTCCTACCCCTTATCATTGATCAAGATAATCTTTTAACAGTAACTGGGGCTCACAGCTGGGAAAGGGCTGACAGTCAGGGCCAGCCCTTATCACTTGGAACCACACCCCTTCCACTTTAACGGAATCTCTCTACAAGAGACACCCCCCCTTCCCAGTTTTAGTTATCCACCCTCAAGTGAGATCTGAACATTGTAAATGGAAAATTCCAGAAAGTGAGAATTTATAAGACTGAACTTTTATTACCGAGTCATAATGTCCTATTTTATTATGTTATTTATCTCTCATGGTGTGTAATTTATAAAACTTTTTCATTAATATGTATGTTTAAGAAAAATATTGTGCTGGTAAGATTTGGTACTGTGTGTGGATTCAGGTCTGCACTGGGATTCTTGAATGTGTTCCTTCAGGAAAAAGGAGGACTGTTGTAATTGGAGAAAACACCCAGGCATGCTTATTCTCAGTAGTAATCAATTCCTGTAAACCATCTTTTTTACCCTATAGCCCTGCTCTGCGTAGAAGAGGAATAATGCTCAAGTTTCCATTCCTCCATGGCCCAAGAGCCAGAAATAGAGATGGCTGTGAAAATCTGTTCCAGAAAGGCACCTTCCTTCTCTTTTCACAGTCCAGAAGAGGAACTTGGGGATATATTCCTTAGGACAGAGTAGCTGGCTTTTTAGATTTGACCTTGACCCCTTCCACCCCCCCACCCAGGAAAGGAACTCTTTCTTGTAATGCCTTGAATACTGCATAGACTTTTTTTTCCCCCCCTTTGCATTAAAGCTTCCAAACTAGGAGTTTGAGAAGCAGGCCCTAATTAAAAAAAGAAAAGAAAAAAGGTACTTAAGAGATTCAAGAGGTGCAAGTGAGCTTACAAATTAAAGCAATTCTCTTGGTTCCTAACTCATATCACTCTTAAATCACTGGGCTGCAAATATTGAAGATGAAAATCATCTTTCTTTCTGGGTCTGCTTTATAATCTCAAGGATAGGTTTGGCACAATGTGAGTCTGAATGCCAGTCACACCATGGGGTCAGGGTTTGCTCTGATGTTCCAAAGCACTGAGTTAAGTTTTTTACTGATTTGGTAATATCCAGGGAGGAAAAGGAAACATCTGAAGCTATTTTTACTTTTGCAGGTCTTCTGACTGGACAGGGTGAATAGCAGGGTGGATCAAGCATTGTCTGGAGCCCTTCTGGATCTTTTTTTTTTTTTTTTTTTGTATGGCCTCATTTCCGTCTTCCTGTTGCTAGGAAGGAGAATTAGGCATGAGAAACTTGTGTTTACAGTACAGGACCATCCTGTCTAGAACAAGGCCCTCTTCAAAGAAGTTCTATTCACTTTGCTCACTGTACTTTGGATGTCCCCATTCTCCTGAACCCTTCCCTAAATATTTTCACATCTAAGTCATAAAAATACCACTCACATCTAAACACTGCATCATGGCTTAAAATCACCATAGGGACACCCAAGGAAACCTAAGTGCTTATTTTCGTATTTTTTATTTTTGGATTTATATAGTGACTTATTTAAAGAAAATATCTAGCTGGGCTCTGGTGGCTTCTGCTTGTAATCCTAGCTACTTAGGGTGCCGAGATCTGACTATCACAGTTTGAAGCCACTGAGGCAGAAAAGTCCATGACACTCTTATCCCAATTAATCACCAAAAAAGCCAAAAGTTTAACTGGGGGCTCAAGTGATAGAGTGCTAACAAAAAAATCTAAGTGACAGCACCCAGGCCCTCAAGCTCCAGGACCTGCACAAAACATATTATTTAACACCAATAGTTTATTTAATCGCAATACATCAACACATCAATATTAGGTCTATTTTCAAAAGCACCCACAAACACCACTTTTTAAGTAAAAGTACCCTTAAACTTTGCTTGGTCTTTGTTCTCTGAACTACAACACAGAACAACAAACAAAAGCTTTAGGGTTCAAAGGCCAATTGTCTTTGCGCTAGAATAATAGAGAAAGCCTTTGATTCACCCAGTATATTAAAACCTGAAAACTCCAACAATCAATTTTGAATTGTCTGTTTCATCTATTCATTCTTTTTCAAAGAGTGAGTGGTGTTTCTAATATGATTTATGATTAGGAAATTAAAACACGTGTCACCAAATATGCTTTGCTCATGCATTCTAGGGAGAAATTCAAGTTGGAGGCTACTTATTCTGATTTCGTGGCACCAGGACAACAAATTGGTCAGCCTACTTGAGCTCCTACATCATTAAAGACCAAGGATCATGCAGCTTAAATGAAAATAAAGTCAGGTTTTGCCAAAAGCAAACATGAAGAAAAAAAAAAACAGCTGGGAAAGAAAGTCAGCGTGCTGTACTTCATCTCAAACGTTCTGAACAGTCATGCTAATGAAAAAATTCTGTGCCCAGGCTTGGACTGCACTGTGAATCTGGCACACTACAATAAACGTGAGGACAGGCAACTGCCAGCACTTTCTGAGAAAAAGCTCGAAATAGCTGTTGGATGCACATCTGCTACCCATTTGACATTCGTTCCTTAGGACTTTAGTGCTTCTATTGGGGGGTGGGAGCTGCTGCCTTGCAGGACACCCCTCTGACCATCTGCCGCAATCCGCCTGCCAAGTGGGCACTGGGTGCCTCCATTCATCCCACCCCTATGATTTGCAAATTATCTCCGCAGAGGACCAGCCTGCAGTCCAGATGGATGCTGAATTAGTCAACCTCTTGGAGCCGCTGATAGACGTACATTCTGGGCCCTGCATTCTGCTGGGCTATTATTTTCCTTCATCCTCCATCGGCCAGCAGAATTTTGGAGGAAAAAAATAAAATAAAAAGTAACTTGAGACTCAGTATTCTGCCCTCTCCAGAGCTGTGACTTTTTTTTCTAACCAAATGCGTCACAAGTATGGTAAGGGATAGCTGCTGCCCTCCTCTGAATCACCAGCCACCGCTTACAACAACCTCTGTCTCCTAAGAAGGAGCCGATTCGTGACCATGTTGGCGGGTCAGCATCAGACACCTTACAAACAGCACCAGGTCCTGGCATCCTGACAACCTCCACGCGTGTCAATAACGGTCTTTATCCTAGCGGGGTGGAGGGCGGACCCACACTAAAGTAGTGTCACTACTTAGGGTCGCCCATCTATCTGTCAGGTTCAAGACCCAGGATTCCCGCGGCCAGTCGGCGATGCAGACAGTTCCACACGCGGGGTGGATTTGCTGCGGCCGGAATTAACTCCCGAAAGATGAAAGGTTGGGTTCCCTGACGCTGGACTTGGGGACAGGGACACAGAGCGGGGCACGGTTCCAAGAGGCTGTCGCCTCGATCTGAACACACACACACACACACACACACACACAAGAGGCTGTCGCCTCGATCTGAACACACACACACACACACCCCCAAGAGGCTGTCGCCTCGATCTGAACACACACACACACACACACACACACACACACACACACACACACACACACACACACACACACACACACACACACACACACACACACACACACACACACACACACACACACACACACACACACACACCTCGTGTCGGGAAGCCGGCTTCCTTCCTCTCCGCGGCCCACGATCTAGCCTGGCCAAGGGCGTGGGCATCTTGTGGGATTTTGCCGGAATAGGGTCCAATGACCCAGCGGGCGGTGGGAAAGTTCAGCCTTCCCAGTCAGCCCTCCCGCAGCCCCCGCCGGAGCCGGGACGCGGCCTAGAGGAGGACCTTCACCCTCTCCAGAAACCATCAAACCCAGACTTCCCCGGACCAGACTCGGAGACTGCGCAGCTCTAGATCTAGACAGAAAAAGCAAGCAAGCAAGCAAGCCCCGCTTAAACTTCGTGTGTGTGTGTGTGTGTGTGTGTGTGTGTGTGTGTGTGTGTGTGCGTGTGAATAAACTTTCAAGCAGTGCCACCGGAGTCTACAATGTCCCCTAAGGAGTCTCCTCCTTGCAGACAGCAGGGCACCGAGCCGAGGACGACCCCCTCAGGAAAGCAAGGTAGCCAGGGAGTCACGCTGTGCCCCCGGGGGGCCAGAGGCCAGCCAGCCGGGCGGATTTAGAACGAGAACAGCAGAGCCCTCCCATCTCGGGGGGTCCCCCCGCCGGGCCCTGGCAGGCCCCCCCCCCGACTCCGGCAACGCATGGCCAATGGACAAGATCCGAAATCCAATCTCCTTCCCAAGTTCTTACACACACACACACACACACACACACACACACACACACACACTTCTCATCAAGCCATTCAAAAGCTCCGGACGACAGGCACCGACTGGGCCAGGCGGGGGGACACCGACTCCGCGGGGGCGAACCCCCCCCCCGCGCCCCCCAGGCCCGCCTGCACGCTTACGTGTGAGGATCATGGTGCCCGGCTGGTCCCTGCACATCAAGTGCGGGGCACAGCGGCAGGGGCACCGACGGGAAGTCGAGGCAGCCCGCAGCAGCTTGGATCCCGTGCCAGGTCCCACGGTGGCGGCACCCGGGACACGCGCCCTCGTGGTACTCAGCGCATCCTCGCTCACCCGCCCCGTGCCCCTGGCCGCAGGTCCGGGCAGAACGCGAGTGTTCACGGCGATCGAGAAGGGCGAGCGCTCCGGGAGCCGGGCGAGGCGCTCCGGCACTGCTCGGCCATGGCTGGCGGTCGGAGAAGAGCGCGCTCGCTCGTACCGGCAGCCCGAGCGCACTGCCAGCCGCGCGCCCCGCCGGCCGCGCCCTCCCGCGGGGCCCGCCCCGAGGGGTGGGACCACACCTGGCGGCACCGCCTCCTTCCACGGCGGGTTCCACGGCGGGGGCGGGGCACCGGGCCGCAGACCTGGACGCTCCTCGGGCTCCGCCTGGCGCCCAAGCTCCGGCCGCCCACTCCTCGCCGCAGGGGTGTGGGCCGCCGCAGGGCGCCGCCAGGCCCCGCCCACCACGAGACCCGCCCACCACGAGACCCCGCCCACAGCCCTTCTCGCCCCTCCCTGGACCCGCCCCTCGCCCCCTCCGCCCCAGACTGGAATGTTTCCTCCCAGCCTTTAAGTCTGCAGCGGGTAGCGCCTACAAGTCGCCTACCATTGGCCTCGGGGGCAAAGGCGAAAAGCTAGAGTTTACTTAGTGGAGAAGTCTTGGCTGGAGCCTGGAACACCCCGCACGTTCCCTCGTACTTGGTGGCCCTGGACATGCTCTGCCCTCTGTGTGTTCGCCTTTTTTTCCGGCGGGCTTTGCAGAAATTTGCGCTAAGGAGATGGGGCATGGATGGGTGTCTCCTGATGGGTGGAATGGGGAAGGAAAGTCCTTGTGTGGGGGACGTTCCTCCGTCCTGGCTGAAGCCCGTGGGTGTGTAGCGTGAGGCGGAGGGCGCCCTCACCGGCCTTTGGACTGCAATCCAGCCCATCTCGGGAGCTGTTAGTGCTCCACCACGGTCGGGCTGGGTCCCAGACTGCAGGTTTAGAGTCTCTGATGAGATTCTGAGGTTTGGTTTTTCCACAGCCCTCAGGTGAGTGACACTGCGTGGTTTGAAAGCTCCTATCATCATAAGAAGGCCCTTTTTTGAAGATCACAATAGAATACAATCACGATCATGTCTTTAAAAAAAAATTCAGGCCAGAATTTCATGAACATTTACTATCTCTGGATAAGGAAAATTACTGACATAAACTCAGTTATTCTGTTTGGAAGAGCGAGTTTACTGCTTTCTGATGTTTTTCTTTGATACAGCAACATGCAGAAGACACCAGGAGCCCTTCTGTCCTGAAGAGTGCTTTCTACTAAAGAAAGCTTCCCAACAAACAAAATAAATGCTAGACGTGAGATATAAAGTAGTTAAGGGGGTAGAAAAGAGGAGGGTAGAATTGGAATTTAGTCTCTCTTTTAGCTTAACATATATCGATTTCATCACCTGAGTTTCAGATCATAAGAACAAGCCTCTTCTCACCTCCATTTTGTTGGTGGTGTTGTTGTTTGCCTTGGATCTTGAACTCTGTGCTTGGGTGCTGCCCCTGAGCTCTTCAGCTCAATGCAAATGCTCTACCACTTGAACCACAGTGCCACTTCCAGTTTTCTGGCCGTTTATTGGAGATAAGAGTCTCACAGGCTTTCCTGCTCAGGCTGGCTTTGAACTATGATTCTCAGCTCTCAGCCTCCTGAGTAGCTAGGATTACAGGCATGAGCCACTGGCAGCCGGTTTTCAAAATAAAATCTCTAACTCTGGCACTGGCTTCTTAATTTACCCAGAATTCAACTTTGGAGAGCATGAGTACCACTCAAAAGATTCTGTCTCCCCAGAGTTTTTCCCCATTCAGCTACTACTGGGGACATAAGGGTAATCAAAGGCATGCATGCCAGGCCCCTGCCTGATGACAGTTTATAGTCTGACTGGAGGTGCAAGAAGAGTATATAAAAAAGAACTAGAGGCTCTAAGTTCAAACTAAAAAGAAAGTCCATCGATACTTCTGAGCATCTCTCCCAGAGTATACCGATTTTTAGAATAAATTGTTGGGAATGTGGCTTAGTGGTAGAGTTCTTGCCTAGCATGCATGAAGCCCTAGGTTTGATTCCTAGTACCACATAACCAGAAAAAGCCAGAAGTAGCTCTGTGGCTCAAGTGGTAGACAGCTAGCCTTGAGTACAGAAAGGCTCTGGGACAGTGTTCAGGCCCTGAGTTCAAATCCTAGGACTGTCAAAAAGAAAAGAAAAAAAATGAATGGTTAATGCTTCTATTTTACATGAACATTTATGGTTGACTGTAACTGAATTAGGTGTTTTGGAATCAGCATCCCTGATAACACCCTGACCTCCCATACAGTGTTCATCCTTTCAGAATAAATGTTAACCTTCACACCTCAATCCTCTTCTTGATTATTGATGCTGATTTTCCTGGATCTTCCTCATTGTGCTGTGTGGCTTGCTCATAATGTAACATTTCTCTTTGTGATATTCTGGTTTGCATTTGGCTTTCACTGAATGTTTTCTATTCTTTTGTCTACTGACAAAGCCTGTGACTAAGACCAGACTCTAATTTTCATAGTTTTAATTCTTTCCTAGTGTAATAATTGAAAGTAAGATTTTTGGAGCCGGACCCTTACTAGTTTTGTGATGAATAGGTCATTTAGATCCTGAAAAATTCTGCTTCTTCATCTTCCAAAAAGGAGGTCTAAGCCAGGCATCAGTGGTTTATGCCTATAATCTTAGCTGTGCAGGAGACTGAGATCCAGGAATCTTGATTCAAAGCCAGCCTAGGCAATTTGTGAAACTCTTATCTCCAACCAATCACCATAAAGTCAGAAGTAGAGCTGCAGCTCAGATTAGAATCATAGCCTAATCAGTGGTAGAGCATCAACCTTGAGTGAAAAAGCTAAGGGTGAATTCAAGCCCCAGTATGTGTGTGTGTGAGTGTGTGTGTATGTGTGTGTGTGTACATATATATATATATATATACATATATATATATACATATATATATATATATGAAGTATAATGTTACATCTCATGGGGTTTTTATGTGGCATGGATAATAATATTGCATGTAAGCACTGAGGACATAATAAGAATGCAATGGAGTGGTGGCTCTTACTACTAATATATATAGCCGTCCTCCAGGGATTGGTTCCAGGACCCCTTCCCTACTTCCTCAAGTACTAAAATGCCCAAGTGTCTTATACAAAATGGCATAATATTTGCCTATGACCTATATACATTCTTCCACATACTTGAATCCATCTCTAGATTAATTATGGTAAGAATTCAGTATAAATGCTAGGCGAATAGGTGTTACACTGGATAGTGTAGGGAACAATAACAAAAGTCCGTACATGTTCCAGCACAGATACAATTTTTCCCTAAATATTTTCATCAGTGGTTGATGGAATCCATGGGTAGGGATGCTGCACTGCTGAAGACCTAATTGTCTCATTAAATGGGCACCTCAAACAAGAACATGAAATTCCTATTTAACAAAGATCCAGGAGGAGTGCCAGCTATGGTGGTACATGACTATAATCTCAGCTTCTCAGGAGATAGATAGCAAGATCCCAACTAAAAAGACTAGAGCTGTGGTTCAAGAGGTACTTTTCTAGCAAAAGCAAGAACTTGACTTTAACCTTTGTGAAGAAGCCTTTACAAGGTGCAGGAAAAAAGGAATGGAAAAGTTAGTAAGAGTGTGGCTAAATAGTGACATTTACTAGATGGAAGAGGATCACCAAAGTCAATTTAAGCTTTAGCTCATCACCTTAGCTTTCATTAGTGTCATAAGGAGCTGACTTTACAGTACATTTTTCACCCGATCCACCTGAACTGTACTCTTGATATTAAAACTCAGAACTCAGACACATTACCATTGTATTGTATTTCATTTTCTCTCCAGCAATCAGAGTCCTCTGAAAGGTTTCAATATGTGAGAAAAAGAATCTATCAAAACGATGTTTGATTTTGTGCTAGGTTCACCAAGTATTTGTTCTCAATGGCAGAGTAAAAACAAAACTAATCAAAATGACTTGACCCAGGACTGGACCGCTCACTTCCTCAGCTGGGTATCAGCTACCCGGAAGTTACTCACAGTGGCATCTCAGCCCCTCTCTAGTTAATCCCCCCCCCCCCCCCCCCATATCCAACCTTGGTATTGCCAAAGAAAGAAAATTCCCATAGCTGACTATTAAAACATGAGACAGGAAGGAGTGACAGAGAAGGCAACCTATTTAATGCTCTTTTGGTTCATATTCTAACCATTGGAATTAGATATTATTATTGTCATAACACACCATCTTGCTTTTCCCCATCTTCTGTACTTCCCCTGGCCCCATCATAATGCGTTAAAACAAATAAGCAAACGAATACATAAGCAAAAACTTCAAATATCTACAGTGGCTCAGGCACATAACGTTAGTGAGTAAACCAGCCAAATGGGATAGTGAGAATGGGGAGATAGAACCCCTGTAGAGGGGCTGTCAGTTACAATGCTTGTAAACCCAACAACCTCAATGTGTTGGGTTTGACTTTTTTTTTAACCCCTCTCCTCCCTTCCCATTTTGTCATTTCTCTTTTTGTTTGTTTTGTTTTTGGGGAGGAAGGGGTACTGGGAATCAAAACTATGGCCTTTCATAGTCCTGGCAAGATCTCTACCACTAGGCTACAGGATCAGCCCTGTTTGTATATTTTGTAACAAAGTTTCCAATTTTTAGAAGCTGGAAGCGAATTTAAAAATTCTAACCACATTTCAAGTAATTTCAACTTGGGGCAGTGAGTTCAAACCTCTGCCTTAGTGATAGGAGCCAAGCAATGGCTCTGGAAACTTCTTTGTCTCTCCTGGGAACCAAAAGACTGAGCTTGGAAAATGTTGTAATATAATTAGTGTTCAATGGAACATTGTGAAATTAGTAGGGAAAATAATTTTGATTTGTAATACTCGAAGGAATATGACAAAGAAAAAAGGCCTGAAAATAATGTTAAACAGTTTTCAATTAAGGAATGTAATTCTATTTGTAACTGAATGTGTCTCTTTAAAACACTCATTTACTTTCAAGCTTCAGTGACCCCTAGTCTATTTTCTTCCCATTTCTTTACCCTAACTACTATTTGGCCTTTTGGAAGCTTTTGTAATCCATATTCAAGAGTAGAGGATGTAGAAAAAGAGAAGGAGCAAAATATGTAAGCAGTGGAAT